CGACCGTTGGGGACCCCATCCCCTCCCCAACATTCAGCATACGGTCCCAGCCGAAACGCCAAAAGGGCTGGTTTGCTTACCTCCTTACGACCTAGCAGGGCCGTACCCGCGCCGCTTGCACCGCTGCACGCCTAAAGATGGTTGACCCATCGCCGAACGACTCTAGCCGCTCTGGAGGGAGCTTTGGCGTTGAAAAAGACAGCATCAATGAGTTTAGCCTGCCGCGAAAATTAAGGAGCAAGAGGGAGTCCCATTTTTCAGTTTCTAACGCTTCCCTTGTTTTGTTCTTCCGTGCATCACTCATCAATTCTACCTTAATTTTTAATGGGCTGTTTTTTCCTCGTGAGCCACGCCTTTAATCCATTCCACTTAGAACAACAGGAGAGCATGGGATGCAGTACCTTTAGTTCTTTTGCAGTAAAAGACAAAGAGTTGCGATTTTGGAAATGTTATCTTCAATGGGTGATTTCTACACAACTGAACTCTTGAGTGGAATCTGTTGAATATCACGCATATTAATGTTGAAAGTAATCATTCAGAGTTACCAAAATACAGTCCATATCTCGAAGTCTGATTGGGCGTGTCACCGGAAATGACGTGGCAGCCACCGCACTTGATAGAAGTTGCGCGGATAAGCTGCTTCCAACACGCTTTGCTGATATCTGGCGGAGTATTTTATCCACACAACATCTATCAAGTGCGGTGGCTGCCACGTCATTTCCGGTGACACGCCCAATCAGACTTCGAGATATCGACTGTAGCTACTCTAACTTTTGTACTTGCTAATCGTAAGCTAGAACGTGCACTGAATGGTGCAAATTTAATGTCAGCTCGACAGGTGAAGAGGGATATTGGTACATATAAATAGATAAATAAATAAATATATAGTCCGGGAGAGGGAACTTAGTCAGGATTGACCTTTCACACCTCCTCGCCGTGGTTATCTCGCACCACCCTGTAACCTGCCTCTGGGTAGACCTCGCTTAATTAGGTGTGCTGAGTGCTGACCTCTCTCCAACATATCGCTCTCATGCGCAGTATTGATTATCAAGTCTATCATTACTATATTCACGGAAACAAACAAAAGTTTAATTTATACAAGTTTTTAGCATAGTTAACAAAAAATTCAGATAATACAGATGTATTAGTGACATTTCTCGACATCCTACTGCGAAGTCGTTCTATTTCTTCTTGAAATACCCGTTTTGGCAACACACTTTCATAAATTAGTTTTCAGTTTCAGTTCGGGGGCCACTCCATTGCTAACTTATACGTAGTACTAGAGAGCATTCACTTGTGCTATTTTGTGCTATCCAACGCTATGATAAGATAATAAGTAAACGACTCATTTTAAGCGTACTTTTGATAAGGCCTGGTGGATGCTCTCCGTTCCACACATCCTGCCCACATCTATCCACTTTTCTACCCAGGTCATCCACCTTGGAGCTCCTCCACCCCTAGACCTAGGCAGAAGGTGTCCATTATCCTTGTCCAGGACCGTTTCCATGGACCATGGCAGAGGCGAATATGTGAAGACATCTTGGGACTTCTTCCACATTACAGCGATACTATCAGAAGTATACTCTAAATGAGCCGATTACGTGTCATGAGTGCTCTCATCCTTATCTTGAGCATTGGAGAAACAATGGAGTGCCCCCCCCCCCCAATCTGGAGTTTCACCTTTCGCAGCTGTTCTGCGTGGAAAACGGCTTGCACTGCGAGTGCTGTTAGCTAAAAATTAATTATTTTTGAGACCCATTTTTATCCATTTTTTCTGAGAGACTTTTTTCCTGCAATAAAGTTATATAGGTCCACCCAGAGGCAGGTTACAGGGTGGTGCGAGATAACCACGGCGAGGAGGTGTGAAAGGTTAATCCTACTTAACTCCATTTTGCGCGAATTTTGGAACGTCAACTCGAAATGCAAAAATTTGTCACCACGAGGAATCGAACTAGGGACCCCTTTTCTGGTATTCAGAGGGCCGTTCAGGAAAAATTAAACATGGTTCTGTGGTCCCCGCATCTGCCCCTATATCATGCAAAAGACCGTTTTCAAAAAGCTTCGTCACGCCCTGGTTCAGAATGGAAAATGGGTCATACATTTGAATTTCTTTCCAAATTCAGGACGGATAGCTAGTTGGTCGTGCGTGTTTGGAGTACGAGACATGAAAGAAGTAGTGCGGCGGCCGGAGCTTGTTGCTCATAAGCTGTACCTCGATCAAGAACCAGCAGCTTACTTATGCCTACTAAAGGTCGGTAATTCAAAGTAGATCCTTTTTCTCAGCACCAAACTCAAATCGCAACTACTAGTATTTGTAATGCATACCTGCCTGGACGTGCAATACTATAACTAGATAATATTACTGTAAATCAGCATTCATCGAAACAATTCTCTTCACATTGAATCTCCTTTTCAGGAGATACGCAGGCGAAGTTATAGTCCAACTGATTTTGATGCAACAAGTTATGCCGAAATGCCAACGGTAGAACTAAGTAATGGAAAACGGATAACTGAGCTAAAACATCCGGACTGGCTGATGCGAAGCTCATTCTATCGCCGATGATAAATATTAATATATTGCAATAAAGGCTTAAACGTTCAAAAAATGAATATAAAAATTTGAAAATAGATTAGTGATCGAGAAGATGAGAAATGATCAAGATCCGCATTGAATGAACACCCTCTATATGGTCCACGATATGACTGAAGGTCGCACAAAGAGATACCTGGTGGAGAGTCAGGTCAACCCTCTAGAGGTGCGGGACGATGCGCCCCTTACGACCTAGCAGGGCCGTACCCGCGCCGCTTGCAAGCCGGCTGGAGAGAGGAATAACTTAGTCAGGATTGACCTTTCACACCTCCTCGCCGTGGTTATCTCGCACCACCCTGTAACCTGCCTCTGGGTAGACCTCGCTTAATTAGGTGTGCTGAGTGCTGACCTCTCTCCAACATATCGCTCTCATGCGCAGTATTGATTATCAAGTCTATCATTACTATATTCACGGAAACAAACAAAAGTTTAATTTATACAAGTTTTTAGCATAGTTAACAAAAAATTCAGATAATACAGATGTATTAGTGACATTTCTCGACATCCTACTGCGAAGTCGTTCTATTTCTTCTTGAAATACCCGTTTTGGCAACACACTTTCATAAATTAGTTTTCAGTTTCAGTTCGGGGGCCACTCCATTGCTAACTTATACGTAGTACTAGAGAGCATTCACTTGTGCTATTTTGTGCTATCCAACGCTATGATAAGATAATAAGTAAACGACTCATTTTAAGCGTACTTTTGATAAGGCCTGGTGGATGCTCTCCGTTCCACACATCCTGCCCACATCTATCCACTTTTCTACCCAGGTCATCCACCTTGGAGCTCCTCCACCCCTAGACCTAGGCAGAAGGTGTCCATTATCCTTGTCCAGGACCGTTTCCATGGACCATGGCAGAGGCGAATATGTGAAGACATCTTGGGACTTCTTCCACATTACAGCGATACTATCAGAAGTATACTCTAAATGAGCCGATTACGTGTCATGAGTGCTCTCATCCTTATCTTGAGCATTGGAGAAACAATGGAGTGCCCCCCCCCCCCAATCTGGAGTTTCACCTTTCGCAGCTGTTCTGCGTGGAAAACGGCTTGCACTGCGAGTGCTGTTAGCTAAAAATTAATTATTTTTGAGACCCATTTTTATCCATTTTTTCTGAGAGACTTTTTTCCTGCAATAAAGTTATATAGGTCCACCCAGAGGCAGGTTACAGGGTGGTGCGAGATAACCACGGCGAGGAGGTGTGAAAGGTCAATCCTGACTAAAGGTGCACCCCTTGCACGCCTAAAGATGGTTGACCCATCGCCGAACGACTCTAGCCGCTCTGGAGGGAGCTTTGGCGTTGAAAAAGACAGCATCAATGAGTTTAGCCTGCCGCGAAAATTAAGGAGCAAGAGGGAGTCCCATTTTTCAGTTTCTAACGCTTCCCTTGTTTTGTTTTCTTCCCATTCTACCTTAATTTTTAATGGGCTGTTTTTTCCTCGTGAGCCACGCCTTTAATCCATTCCACTTAGAACAACAGGAGAGCATGGGATGCAGTACCTTTAGTTCTTTTGCAGTAAAAGACAAAGAGTTGCGATTTTGGAAATGTTATCTTCAATGGGTGATTTCTACACAACTGAACTCTTGAGTGGAATCTGTTGAATATCACGCATATTAATGTTGAAAGTAATCATTCAGAGTTACCAAAATACACTCCAAATCTCGAAGTCTGATTGGGCGTGTCACCGGAAATGACGTGGCAGCCACCGCACTTGATAGAAGTTGCGCGGATAAGCTGCTTCCAACACGCTTTGCTGATATCTGGCGGAGTATTTATCCACGTGGCATCTATCAAGTGCGTGGCTGCCACGTCATTTCCGGTGACACGCCCAATCAGAGTTCGAGATATCGACTGTAGCTACTCTAACTTTTGTACTTGCTAATCGTAAGCTAGAACGTGCACTGAATGGTGCAAATTTAATGTCAGCTCGACAGGTGAAGAGGGATATTGGTACATATAAATAGATAAATAAATAAATATATACAATGCGTTGCCACACCTATAGTACAATGTGAACCGAATATCGAACAATGTTCCGTATGGGCCAACGAAGTCCTCTGGAAGGTTGGCAGATTGCTACTCGCCTACTCTGCGCAGGTATGTACGTACAGCGATAAGGCCGATGTCATAGTTTGCGAATCGAGCGATTCGCTAGCGAATCGCTGGATCCGAGCGTTGCGCCAGCGAATCGAACGTTGCACCAGCGAATCGAACTTTGCACCAGCGAGTCGAACTAGGTACCAGCGACTCAATAGTGGGGGACCCAACGTTAAAGGAAGCCCGCCACTTTCAAACAGTGTCACGTGACAGTGGACGCTGTTTGAAAGTGGCGGGACTTTGCAGTGGACACTGTTTGAAAGTGGCGGGCTTCCTTTAAACGTTGGGTCCCGCCACTATTGAGTCGCTGGTACCTAGTTCGACTCGCTGGTACATCGTTCGACTCGCTGGCGCAAAGTTCGATTCGCTGGTGCAACGTTCGATTCGCTGGCGCAACGCTCGGATCCAGCGATTCGCTAGCGAATCGCTCGATTCGCAAACTATGACATCGGCCTAAGAAGGCCGTCCGACTTCACTTTCATTGTGAGCGTATTTAGAACTTGCAACGATACTGAGTAGAAATCGAATGCGCTTGCGCGGCACACATCAGAGTAATAACAATCACTGGAAGATCTTTTTATCCTCATCTAATGGCGCACGCTGTCAAGCGCTCTTTCACCGAACTCATTATTAATATCACACACCTCTAGAAGTGACCAGTTTCAATAGCTTAATATTCGAGGGAAAAGGCATAAATTGGGATTCAGTTACGAAGGGAGACTTTAGCGCAAGCAGAAAACTGAGTTGTCTGTTTCATTGAGGTAGAAGGGGACCCGACAAAAATTAATCTCGACCTTAAGAACTGTACCGTCAACACAACAGAGTGGAAGTACTGTGTAGAGTGAATCACAAACAATGTCGTAATTCTCCAAACTTCGAAACGAGTTGAGGGTGGGTGCCTTGTCAACGGTGATTATCACGCAAACATTGCACCAGAAGTCACCCTTTTGACTTACTTGACAAGGAATCACTGGAAATGAGAAGAGGGTAGTTTCTGTAAGTCATCTACAGAGAGGCACCACTGGATAGAGGCAACTCAATAGCCATAGTCACTTCTGAACTACATACAACTCTCAGTTGAAGTAGGTTCTGCTGTTGCATTGCATTACCAAAGACTTCCAGAAATAACACCGCCGATAGCGTCTGCTTGCAGGTGCTGCGGATCTTACAATGTTGCACCCGTATATAGAAATGTTTTATCACGCAGAATTCGACGCAAGAGGAAGTAAGAACACCACACGGGGTCTAAGAACCACAATCTCCAGCCCCCTCCCTACATCCTGGGTTATACCAACCGGCTGCCACGTTCTCCCTCTGCTCGCTTGCCTCCTGAATGAAAAGAACCGCAGAAAGCGCAATACTCTGAAGCGGACCTCCGGACATCCTTTTCGACAGAGATAGCTCGATACTAAAGGAGAGGCTTCACTTGCGATCATATCATATCGAGGACTATGGCGGGTATGCGTCTACAGCATGAGAGATCTAGTGCGATGATGATCTATACGTAAATTTGAGCGCACCAGCCCTTCAAAGCGGCCTCACAGTGAGATCATGGACACTGCTGACGCAATGGGCGGTAAGGGGGCTGCTGCTGTGATTTTCTGTGCTGCTCCTGAAGAGAGGGAACATGGAAACGCGTTACACATGCTGAAACAGCTGCTTGGAAACTTTGACGACTTCTCGTTTCTAACATGCCCTCTTTCGTTAGAAGCACGCTCCCCCACCCCTGCTAGATCAATGGACCCTATATGTTACTATGGACCGCTTTTTCAATAGCCTCAGACATTTAGAGGCTCGATTTTTAGAAAGCCTTTCACAAATGACGACTCGAACAAGGAAGCTGCGGCGTTGTCTTGGATTAAAAATTACTGTAGGCATGAAACTAGGAAAAGAAAGGCAGCTACTCAGGTAGACAGAAGCAGTATAGACAAGAGTGCTTACTTATCTCATTCCGGAAATCAGCCTAGCAATGTTAAGCAACAATTCTCCCGTACTCTTCCTCACCCACTAAAGCCTCATAAGATTTCCCTGTGGTGTGTTTCCCAATATCGCAAAATCGTGCAAGATGAATCAAGTTACTCCCAGTTTTAGATGCGGTAGTAATACAGCCTCACAAAATTTCTTGAACTCATTTATTAAAAAAATTATCTACAACATCAAAATCATAGTTTTCTCATCATGACATCTGAATGCTTATTTTGAAGGAAATAAAAGCAGAAGTATTAGAAGGTTCCGCTAAAGAATAGCAAAAACAGTATCCCACAAATGTAAATAGTACATGTAACATTCCCAGCTATACAACAGCATGACAACGTGAATGAACATAATCACAACAATGGCTATACCTTCTGGGATGATCACAACAACAGTAATCCATGCTTGAGAGGAATCGCTGACAGGGTTTGCCCAGATCACAGACATAACATATGTAGAGATTCATTTGAAAAAATGATGCTATGAACGTGGTCGGTCCAACTAAAGAAAGCGAGCAAGCAAACGGGATTACGTTCTTATGAGCTAATGCTAGGACAAAATATGTACAATGGTTGGAAGAATGATACAGGATCTGCTGTAGGAAGTGGGGAACGTGAGGGAAGGGAGCCACGTTGCAACAATTCATACTGGTGGTAACAAAAGGAAACAAGTGAAAACCTGTCATATTTACTGAAGCTTTCAGGCAGTTATCATAACAAATTAATTCGGTAGGTTCCGTTGAACTACAGGAGAGGTATACTGCTGCAACTTTCTGGGCCTCTGTGACACCAAAACATGTAATATCTGCTAACCCTTCCTAGTAGTTGACAAATAATAAAGCCTAGACATTTAACAAAAAAATAAAAAGCCCGATTCAATGGCGTAGAAAAGAAATTCCTGAGTATCACGAGGAAGCTGATTTGCAGTTTTTGACATGTTTGTTTTGTTAATTGCTGTTTTATGGAGGGTATAGCTCACTTTACAAGGGTTGACATGTACTAAAATGTTAGCTGCCCGGAAAGTCCCTCAGACATTGTCGTTTCCTACATGTTTTCTTTCGCAATCAGCAAATGTCCCCCTTCGTACAACAGACCCGATCATTCTACATTGGTTTGATTTCCGACAGACCCTAAACCGAGAAAAATTCCAAACGAAATAAGCTTGTTTCTTTCATTTTAGAAAACCATGAAAGTTCAAAAGAAAAACACCGAAATATTTTGAAAAATCACCACAAAAGCGGTGATAGAAGGACCCGCAAACTTCATATTTGGCAAATTGGGAATATACTGAAGTCAAATAAAAATCAAGAATATAGAATGCATAAAAAGATAATACAACGAATGTTCTTCAAGAGGTCAAATTTAACCAAACACAATGGAGAAAAATATGAACATATTACAAAATGTACCGGTTATGTTGGCTGTCGTTGGGCTTGTGAATGGTAATCCTCCGTGGGTACGTACACGTACTGTTCATTGGCATTTGCCAACTCATGTGGTTGAAGTAGTCGACATTTACGGAGTCTCTTCCATTCCCCACTCTGGTAATCCATCTATAAAAGGCTTTTTATAGACGAGAAGCATGAGGAACCCAGAAGGAACAAACAGTAAAGCAGTCAAAAGTGATTTGAATGGTAAAGAGAGTCGGCAGCGGTGACCAGGGGAATGTTTACAGAAACACACCTGGAAAAATGTTTCCACCTTCATCTTGCACATCTGGTTGTCCGCTAGGCCATCTTCAATTGTCTCAGATAGCTTCATCGTGATTATATGACCAAGTTCAGGACGAGGATTACCTACAGCAAACAATTACCTTCAATCACGACGGAACAAAATATTGTATGTTATAAGAACGAAGTAGAAATGATTAATGAAAAAAATTACAAGTTGACGATGTGAAGGCACACGTCACATTTATTGAAAAAACAGCTAATGTCAAAACATTTGGATTGCTGTTGTTAACTTACACTTATTTCCAGTCATAAACGCAATCACTAGTTGTCTACCATTTTGATCCAAGGAATTAGCATTGCGTAGCATTTCGTTACATTGATTCATTATTGCTGCTTCACGAGCCTTAACGAAGTTATAAAACAATATCAAAAATAGGAGAAATAGTAATGATTCTATTAGTTTCTTCGTAGTTATACTTACTCTTTGAGCAGGCGTCCGCTGATCTCGAACAGGCGTAGCTACCCAAACAGCGCCGGGATAACCTGGAGGGCGATGGACCATAGAAGGCTGAAATCCCATGAAATATGGCGCCACTAGTAGAAACCCGAAAAGAACAACGGCAAAAAGCAAAATAGCAACACCATGAGAAGAATAGCTGTGACAAAATTATGGCTAATGTCGAAAAATGAAGCTGCATCTTTGCAGTGAGCCTCACCTGCTGGATTGGTTGCGGCAAATAATGTTGCTGTTGCTGTTGATGATGTTGTTGCTGCTGAGGATGATGCTGTTGTTGAGGATGATGATGCTGTTGATGGACAAGATGCTGTTGAGGAGTGGGTTGGTGCTGATCCTGTTGAAGGCGTTGTGGTAACCGATGAGTCGGTTCCCTTGATAAGAAAGGATTTTCGACGTGACTTAATTTTTGCTCTTGCTCCATTCCCTCCTGTTGTGATTGCATCTCTTCAGGGAAACTTGTAGAAGGAACAGATGTCTCTGAGGACGATTCTTCTGGTGCTACAGATGCACTGGTATCATCCATCTGCAACGATTGAACTAACGAGGAAAACACAAGATAAGGGTACAATTCATACCTGCTCAGACCCATCACCTCCATCATGAGCTCGCACATCCTCGACCTGAGATTTCTTCTCACCCTGCCGTTTCGCATTCTCCTGAATCTTTTGTTGGGCAGCTTTTCTGGCATCCTAAATTGTGACATTATATATGGAAGTCAACATACCAGTCGGCACGCAATACTTGACTTGAAAATAGAAAGATTAACGAAGGAATCAGTTTATATATGGTCGTAAGGAGAACTTATAAACAACTAACTTCCCTACCTCCGCAGACTCATTGAGGCAGACCAGCAGCCTAGTTCCCAATTTCCAATTTACAGCCCAGCTCGAAAGATAAACGAACGGTAAGATCAAAGAGCACATTACAACTAACTTCTTTTTCCTTCCTGTCCTCGAGTGCTTTCTTCCTCGCCATTTCCTTTTCCTCCTGTTTCCGTTTTCTCTCCTCAATCATTTCCATTTGACGTCGTTTTTTAAGAGACTGAGGTAGTTCACAAATATCTGCAATCAATGCATGCGGGAAGATCTGTAGCGGAAACGGCTAATTAGGAGAAGTTGAAGGGTCGAAGTGGCCATGTACATATACCATGAGACCTTGGACGTGCATTGGACGCTAATCTCGAATCTGTTTCCTAGATCTGCCAAGTCGATTTTCTGAAGCAGAGTTATGAAGGAAAGTAGAGCAGCGGTAGTAGTCCGGGTTCACGTGCGAGACGTCGTAGGATCGATTCCCTGGCGGGTTCTCTTTTTTGCCTTCGCTGCAAACATGGTTGAAAAAGGCTCCCAACTACGTTACTTGATGAACACCACAACTCACTTGACGACTACTTGCCTATAGTTATCCGTACAAAGAGTTGGGAGGAGTTCTAACAAGTTTGGCGCTACTTGCTAACCACTGCACATGGAGCCCACACATTTTTGGCAGACGTTTCTACAGCACATTGGTGTGAGATTCGTGTTACGGAGACAAAAGCATTCCTAATGCCAAATCACCCGCCAGGGAATTGATCCTACGACCTTTCGCCCGTGAGCCCGGAACACTACCACTGCTCTATTTTGCTTCATAACTCCGTTCAGAAAATCGATTGGCAGATTTGGAAAGCAGATTCGAGATCAGCGTCCAAAAACTTTTCCAACGGTGTAGGTCTCATTACACATGGCCCATCATCCTTCCCTGGTAAGCAAGACCGGACTTATGAACACGAACCTAACAATTTTGCTCCTCCTTCACGTTTCGAGAGTTGGCGTTGGAACTTCTTTGGTTCATATGTGAATCCGGCATTGAGTTTGCACGGATTCTGATTGGGAATTCCTTTCATGGGCACTGAAGGAGTGATTAGAATGTTACATGTACAGAGTACCATTGATTGATAGATGATGAACGATTCAAAACTGAATGTCGTACAATCATTGTTCCCTGTCCGCAGTGTAGAACGTATCTTGATAGGTACAGACGCACTCCAAAGCCCACTACTTCTTTCTCGATTCGCATCAACCAACTTCGAGCACTCTGTAACAAAAACTTCCTGATTGAACTGATCGCTTTCCTTCAACAAGCTTTCGTATCATACATGAAAAAATTAAAACGTCAACATGACAAGGCAGGGCGAGGGCCATCAATGCAAAACAATTTCTTCAAATAATTGCTTAAGTCATTCCCCTGCCAGAGAGCCAGCTATCGAACTTAATATATACACATTGTAACTCCGTAACTACGTGACGTGATGAAGTCCCCACATGTGCTACTGCGGTGTGGTTCACTAGGACAGAAAGCGACTTTTTCGCGTTTCGCAGCGCGAAACATTTTCGCTGCGGGAACCTCAGGTCCACCGCTGATCATCAGTGGACCCGAGGTTCCCGCAGCAGCGAATCATCAGTGGACCCGAGATTCCCGCAACGAACAATGTTTCGCGCTGCGAAACGCGAAAAAGTCGCTTTCTGTCCTAGTGAACCACACCATGCTACTGCTACACTTCAAAACTAGCAGTGAACATGGCGAGTGCAGAAAAAAGCCGACATGAAGAGGAGGTGCAATATGCAATAAAAAAGTCGATATGATGTACGTTTTCTCATACTATTGAACATGGCACGTGTGAGTTGCTGGGTCTGCATTCACGACACACCTAGGTACGAGAAACAGACTACACACATCATTTTTCACGGGTAGGGCTACGCATCAAGTAGGAAGAGGCACTTTTCAATAGGTATATCTATAAAACAAAATTCGAGAAGGAACAAAAATGGGTCTCGAAATTTATATACTGCACAGGCCATTTTATGAGCACTCGAAGGCACATTTGCATTTTTTAGTGAACGACACTTTGTGTGTAAAGAAGCTCCCTCACGAAAATCTAGTAATAAGAGTGGAACGCTAGAAAGTAAGTGCATTGAAGCATTCTGAATTTATGCAGAAGATACTGCTTAAGGTCAATGAACTAGGGTTCTATGCTACTATTGCCAGCCATAAGACCTTCTCTAGCAAAATCCCGTATCGAAAGTAGTAAAATAAAGCAATGCGGAAATTACGAAACAGAAAAGCATCATTTAAAGAGGGAAATTGTGTAGACGAACAGAAAAAGAAACTAACGTTTCATCATATCGTTCATAAGGTTGAAAGACTTCGGTTTCTTGCGTAGAATAAAAGACTTCTGCGTTTCCAGAGGAGGACCAAAGCTGGCCTGAACAGTACACAACGTATAATGAAGCTCAGCCAGAAAAAGAACAGGAATAGAAATATTGCAAAGAAACAACAAAAAGTACCTTATTGACCGAATTGCTGACAATATTGTGTCCTTCCGGTGCTAATTTCAAATCACCATTTTCAAGATGCCCTTGGACTGAAAAAGGAGGATACAACTCAATGAAGAAAATGAAAAAAATAGAGTCATACAGCATTTTGTGAGGTCCTCTAGAGTCTTAGCAAAGTGGGAGTCTTTGTTAGTACACACAGGAATAATCACACCAGTTGACGGCATATCCCTATAAAAATAATTTCGGCTATTCAGACTATAATTTTGCTTACACATAAATAAAGGAAAATGATACAGGAGTTTCCGCACCTATACATATCTGCAATTGTTTCTACCCAGTCATCAGCATCCTTACTAGCTAAATCGAGTAGTGTAAGAAGAGCCGCATGCACCTATGAAATTGAAGAATTACCAAAAAAAGCCTGGATGAGTGAGCTGAAGAGGAACATATAAACGGAATCAACTTACCATGCTTAATTTTCGTGGATTCATGTGAGGAATGCATGAAATGATTTTGAGCTTCGTTTGGACATCAATCGCCTTAAACAGTTGTTTGTAAGGTATTGGAAAGCAATGGAAATAAGTCGAGACGACTAACTTGAAAGCAAGTTTCTAATTCTTCAAGCATTTCTCTGGACAACATAGAAGCAGTCATGCGCCCTGACCACACACCAGCGTCACTAAGCTTCTTTTCCAACCAGTTCACCTGAAAATAAAAACCAATTTAGCGGGCGCTGAAAAGAAAAAATTCAATCTTCTTACCAGATCCATGTCTTTCAGCACCGAAGTCTGAGATGTACTTGGGAAGAGGGCACCCCCTCTACTTAGATCTGCCATGATCTATAAAATAACTTGGAAGTGAACACTTAAAAAAAAGACAGAAAAATATAGCTGAAAGCAGTTGCTGTCCATGAAAAATGACAAAAAAGTACAACGAGCTGCACAAATTTGAACAAAAGCGTGTGGGTGGAATAACACAATGTCGATAAATGAACTAATCGATTTTGGAGAAGCATGGCTAAACCACATGTTGAAGGCAAATCTCTACAAACCGCATGATATACAAAACTTTTGTAATTTTCAAAAAAAAAACCCGGGATATCATGAAGTACGGACCGAACTAGAATACACCAAATACGGAAGCTATATATACATATATATCATAAATGAAAAGCAGCATGCGAAACAAATCACTAAATAAAAAACTCAAATCAGAAAAGGTCTGTCGAAGCAACAGTAGCAACGGAAAACAAGAAATACAAACCGAAATAGACTGGCGGCGAAAAACAAAAGGAGCCAAGTACCGAAAAGTTTCAGTGCTCCATCGCGAAAAGTTCTCCTCACGGTCAAGCGTACCGCAAGCGCTGAGTCGCATAGTTGGCGAAGCGCCAAAGGATCCGCACACAACTCACGCTGCACAGAGCGCCGTGTTTCAAAGTTACTGTCATGAAATGTTCTTCGTTCAAGACTCAAGAATCCAGACGAAACTATAATGCATTAGGTGGGCTAACCACTTCGCAGACTTCCGTTGGTGTCGTGTCAAATGGGTGTGGTTCGCTAGGACAGGAAGCGACTTTCGCGTTTCGCAGCGCGAAACATTTCTCGCTGAGGAACCTCGGGTCCACTAATTTTTCGCTGCGAGAACCTCAGGTCCACTGATGATCAGAGCAGGGTCAACCGTTACGTTGGACCGATATTGGAGCGACGTTGGACCGATGTTCACCGCTCTCCGCGCCGGCATTCACTCTCGCCACCCGCGAGCCGTCTGTGTCTCCGTGCGTACGTTCACTCTCGGCATTACTCTCGTCGTCGCGTTGGACTTTGTCCAACGGACGGTTGACCCTGGATCAGAGGTGGACCTGGGGCCGTAAGGTATGCTTCCCCGAAGGGTTAGGGGACGAAAATCCCTTTAAATTTTCTCTGTCTTCCCAACTGGGATTGTCCTGATAAAGGGCCTACATTTAATATATGTGTGTAGGTTAAAGTAAACATGCACTGAAAATGAAGAAACAGTATCGTTCAAAACAAATAAATTTAAAGGGATTTTCGTCCCCAACTATTCGGGGAAGCATACCTTACGGCCCCTGAGGTTGCCTCAACGAAAAATGTTTCGCGCTGCGTAGCGCGAAAAATTCGTTTTCTGTCCTAGTGAACCACACCCGTGTCAAATCACGGCCGTCTCTCCGGCACGTCGTCGGTGTACACTTCATATCTCGAAGTCTGATTGGGCGTGTCACCGGAAATGACGTGGCAGCCACCGCACTTGATAGAAGTTGCGCGGATAAGCTGCTTCCACACGCTTTGCTGATATCTGGCGGAGTATTTTATCCACACAACATCTATCAAGTGCGGTGGCTGCCACGTCATTTCCGGTGACACGCCCAATCAGACTTCGAGATATGGACTGTAGCTGAGAGGAGGGAGAGGGGCGGACAGGGTGAAGCAATGCACCGTTGCTGATCCTTCTTTGGAACCCTGCTTGCTCGCATGGCTGTCCTTCATGAGTATTCTGCCGATCCTGTTAAGGATGACTCGAGTGAATAGCTTGTAGATTACAGACAGCAGGCAGATTGGGCGATGGTTGCCAATTTTGTACAAGTTTTCCTTCTTACAGCAACGCAACTCTGATGGCTTTCCGTAGAGCGAGTACCACCTCCAGTACAAGAAACATTTGCGTTTAATAAATGGGGGATAGGCGGCTGAAGCATTGTGGGCATAGCTTTTCTGAGAATTAATCATTCTCGAAGGTAAACAAATGTGGAACTTGGTCCCCTTCTAAGCGAGTAATTCAAAGGCAGACAAATGGTCACTGAAGGAATTGAAAGTCGAGGTGATACGAGGTGCAAGCGCTTTGCAGCTGAGTCTAAGGAAGGGGGGGGGGGAGAGGTTATTGAAACGGACTGTTCCAGTGCCCCAGCCTGGCTTAACGGGACGAACATCTCCAGCTACGTTTTCTCATGTCTGTGAATCAATATGATGAACGACCTAGTTACAGAACTAACCATAAGCAGGAGGAAAGCGAGCGGCATGGGGAGCATACGAGAACATCGAGGGAGTAGTGAAGAAGACGAATGAACATCCGGCTTCGCGCCTCACCTTTTCGATTCTGCCTTGTCTCCTGCCTTGACGAAGGATTTCATAGAAATTTCAGAAAAAAAAGAAATATACTTGGCGAAAAGGTGGGCGGCCCGACAGGATGCGGGACATTCCGCGACGCAACGAAGAATATGCCCCGAGCGGTTTAAGGCCGATGTCAGACTTTGCGAATCGCGCGTTCGTGGGCGGCAGGGCCCTATTAGGCCGATGTCAGACTTAGCGGCCTAATAGGGCCATGCCGCCCTCGAACGGCTGAGTATTAACGAAAGCATGATGGTGCTGATTGTATTTATTATGGCCATCATTTGTTCTTCACTTTATGAGGGCATTTCATTCATAGCGGCTGTGCCTTTTGTTTTTCTAGGTAGTACGTTATCAAAGAAATCCTAGGAAAAACCTTGCATTCTTTACCAACACGCACGTGTCAGTTGTGATCACTAGATTCACACACAAAGATTCAGTTTCCGAAGGGGAACAAACATACAAAAACTACACTCTATGGCTCTATGGACACCGATGGTTGCGTTTCTAGTGAAGGCACTCCAAGAACCAAGTGGAAGCATTCCGTCGCCAGCATTTGTGACAGATGTCCGGCGGTACTTTGAACGCGTAGCAGCCCTTTCGGTTTTTCGATTTTTTTTTACCAAAATGCAATTTTTCTGTTCTTTTCGTTCTTATCGTGAACGATGGGTCCCAAGCCAGTGAATTATGGGTGAGACGGAATCACGGTTTTCCGAGGATTCCTTTAGAGGATAATGGTTACTGACATGATCCCGGCTGTAGGGGTCACCACATGCAAGCGAGCTCGTCGCTGAATTGTCCTAAGCGGAAATCAACTGGCAAAAGAGGGTCCCATTCTCCGCGTGCTAATCCGTTTTTGTTGGTTTTTTTTTCACCACTGCACTGCCTTCATTTCAAATGGGCCACCATTTTGTTGTTATTCCGCTTTTAACGAATGCTTCAGAGGCTCGGGCTCTGCTCAGGCAGGACGAACATGTGATCAACATCATCCGACGTACTCTCCATTTCGGGAAACAGAAGAGCGTCGAATGCAGACCACGCACCACAACTGACGACGGGCGAGCAAAAAAGCCACTTTTTTGGCCGTCGTCACTTGTGGTGTGTCTGCACTCGACGTTCTTCCGAACTAGAGGGTGCTGAGAAGAAAGCGATGCATGGAGTTGCAGGGGCACACGAAAGCCAGATTCTCGAATTAGTCCAACTCAGCGGACCAGTGGGCGACAGGTGTGTAGAGGTGATGATTGAAAATCCTTGATCAGGCAAAAGGGTTGATACATGTGTGAGTTCCAGAAAACCGAAAACCGAGAAACGCGGCATTTCTACTATAAGGAACCACACATCACTTTGTAATCAGTTGGTGGCGATCCTAGGTGTTTCAGGAAAATCTCAACTGTGTGCTCATAAACGTGCTCCTGTGGCATGCAAAAAGTTGGTGTGAAAGAATGCTGCTCGTCATGGAATTCTTTCTCAGTGCGGGCATGAACAAATTGACAGTGTACGAGAAAGTTTACGAGATTACATATCTAGCATTCCTCATTAATGCCTTTGAAGCTGGATTTTGCGATGAAAAGGTAGCCTTTTTGAAATCAAGGTAGAACTGGTCAGTGGGACATAGATGAAGAACAAATTTGAAAATTGGCCCAGAACTCGAGAAATGGGAATCCTTGTTGCTCTTGATTTTCGCATTGATGCGACTCTCATCGGTGCTGCCCTCTTCAACGCTAACGCTCTCTCTGCTAAACGCTAGAGTCAGACGGCGAGGAAGTGGGCGTGCCGCGGCGCGAGTGGCGCGGGTTTTCCCTACTAGGCCGCTGAGGACACACCCTTTGCTGCTAAATGGAGGTCGTCCTACACTCTTGGGGAGCCCGCCTATCATTCGACATGGCATATCACCCTTCTTCAACCTCCGACCTTGTTGTGGAATCCTCCTTTGAATGCCCCTTTCCCGCACTGCGTTGAATGCCTTGAAAAAGAACTTGAAAGGACGGAATACCGATAAATCTGTGGACGAGGCATTTGTTTTCCTCAGTTCTTTTTTTGTTATAATCCGGGCTCCTGACCGTTTTATCTTATCGTTATCTTCGCTCTCTGCACCTTTTTTTCGCACACGACCTTTTTCGCGGCCGACTAACCACACCACCACAGCTATTGCTGTGCATTTAGTTTCTAGTGATGGTACAGATTCGCCGCAAGGAAAAAGAGTTCTACCTTAGTTGGAAATTCATCACTAGTTTCTGTACTTTGCTAAGATTCCTCTATCCTCGATTTGAGTATGCAGCAATTCTTACTATATGCACAATTATTGCCGCCGCCGGATGTAGGTGCTTTGATGAAAATTATTGCTCATTTCTTTTTAGTAGTGTTTTTTATATTACAAAAATTACTATCAATAATGAAGCCTTTTGAGAAATGCTACATCGGGCTCGAGGTATTTGGTCTGTGTAACAACATCTTCTAGTCACTTTTTTTTAAATCGTGGTTACCTTCGATCGTTGCTGGGAATTTCTGAATTTACATATATTACCTTTGCACTTCAAGCCCGACTTCCAACCTATCATAAAAAAATTTTTCTCTACCGTCACTACCCCGTTATCCATTTTCGTCGAAGTTATCAAACGTTGTGAATTTTGGAATCCGTGTCCAGCCGCAGAGCGCGACCGTATGACCCCTCACTGGTAGTTGTGACTGCTACCAATCCCTCCTAATTTTCCCACGGTTTTAGGCTGTGAAACAAAATTTTGGTTCTTTTTGGGAAGCTCCGCCCACATGAAAGCGGCTACGCTGGCTGTGGACGGGTTTTCCCTTGTCTCAACTGGTAACGCTATGCTAGTCTTCGCACGCAGCTCTACGCTTTAAGACGCGCTTTTCAGCTCTTCTAGAACCAAATAGCTCATAATTAATTGCTCTTCTTTATTATAACTATTTTATTACATATAGTCAGTTCGTACTTTTTTTTATCGATTATTGACAAGTTATTTTCTATTTCACCGCCCCTCATGATCGTAGTTCTCGTTGGTGCAGGCTCAAGGCACATGAAATTCTAACTCTGCTTCCCACAGCTAGGTTAATGGGGATGTATCAGTACTGTATACAGACTATTTGTTCAATGAACTGGTTCTGCTTAACGAAGATTGGTCTATATAGGCTTCTTTTCAGAAGCAACACGAAGGCATTGACACATGGAGTCACAGAGCAACCACAACACAGATCAGAACTAGAAAACAAAATTTCCCCAAATATGTCGATCTAACCGTCTACCTGGGTGATCCTACTTATGGTTAGGCCGAAAAGTTTCCCGGAATTATAGGTGGACGACTACAAGCATCCCCCACAACTTGTAAAAAATTCCATGACTTTTATTGTACCAGTAGATCGGGCAATCATTTTTGCGACGGTGTTGCCTCATTACCTCTACAATTTTAAAATTAGGAAAAGGAGCGTGTAGATATTCTGCTAGCAATTTTAATATAAGCCTTTCTACATTTGATCGTTACACGCTCTTTGGTTTCTTCACATTACCTTCAAAAGTTACCAATTCATGGATCTCTGGAATTTGTTGAAGGGCCGATTGCCATATCAGTACTTGATTGTTCAGGATGTACAAAAAGAATATAGTCGGGAAATTGGGCTTGCGACGTGCCGCGTTGTCCTACGCCGAATATGGGGCGAGGCCGGTTGAGAAAGGTGATCGTCAACGGATTAAGGCGGAGTTTGCGATGAAAAGACAGCCCACTAGAAATCAAAATAGAAGTGGTCAGTGATGCAGGGGTGGAGAAATAACCAGGACAGCAACTTACATAGCCCCCTTCCGCCCGCTGATTTGCTGTTTAGGCGTGTATTATCGGAGTTGACCTCATCAACACTAGAGCTCTCTCTGATAGGTGGCTGGAGCCAGACGGGAGGGAGTGGGCGGGCAGCGGCTGTACTGGCACGAGGACGGAAATGCCAGATAGGCATATCCTTTGCTACGAAGTGCGTATCGTCCACACTTTTAGGGGTGCGCCTGTCTTTCGGTTTGCCCTTCCGACCTCTGACTTTGTCGTGGAACCCTCCTTTTAGAATATTTTTGTATTATACACAGAACCTGCGAACATGATGGCTGGCGTTTCAGATCGGTCATTGTGGATAGTACGGGAAGAGGAATTGTAATTGTAGTTGTTTATTGCACAGGTTAGCACCCATGCTAAAACAGCAAAAAGCATTAAAACCCAGGAGTGAAAAGGGAACAATTTATAGGAACATCTATAAGCACAACTAAGGGCTATGTGCAATAGAAATCTTCCGGAACTTTGACGTTTTTTTTCAGAAAATTTCATAGCAATTATGCAGTTTCATTGCGAAATGTTGTGGAATCGATGGACTAATCCAACTTATATTTTTTACCTGTAAAAATACCCAAACTTATATTAAATGGGGCTCTTTGTTTTTTTTATTCTGTTGTGGTTTAGCTTGACATACTTATTTTTTAATTATTTTATTTTTTTTCGCTATAGGAAATGCTATTATTCAGATGAGGTTGTCAGTTACCAATCGGGTACAATCATTGGAAGTTTTTATATGGCACTACTGAACAAGGATGAGCCCTATTTCTGGCAGCTATTTTGGAAGGCGACATTGATCTATCTGGGACAGTGTCTGGTAAGGTTGCCTATTTAGCATATTTCCACTTGTGTCGCATGGAAGTTCCAAGGATCTCGTGTCATAACTGCTCAATGTTTTAACAAAAGAAGAGTGCAAAGGTGCACTACCCGGAGGGTGCGCGACAAAAGTTCGCTCCACTTACAAGGAAGGTCTTTCAGGGTGTGCCAAGCTTTTTCAAAACGGTCTTTTGCATGATATAGAGGCACATGCGGGAACCACAGAACCATGGTTAATTTTTCCTGAACGGCCCTCTGAATACCAGAAAAGGGGGTCCCTAGTCACACCTTTTTCACCAGTTTTTCAATCAAAGTCTATTTGTAAGGGTTACTGACGTCCTAATCATGAATTTGGTACTAATTATTCATGCTAACTCCATTTTGCGCGAATTTGGAAACGTCAATGCAAAAATTTGTCACCACGAGGAATCGAACTAGGGACCCCCTTTTCTGGTATTCAGAGGGCCGTTCAGGAAAAATGAACCATGGTTCTGTGGTCCCCATATGTGCCCCAATGTCATGCAAGAAACCATTTTGAAAAAGCTTGGCACACCCTGAACGACCTCCCTTGTTGAGCAATCGAATGCACTGTGTAGCGCAAGAGTCAAGCTTGCGTCGAGAAGTCCTTCACGAGGGGTGTATTCAGCCCGGTGGGATGGAGCGGTTCACAAGTGCAGAGATTAGTAGTGGTTTGTTCGAGAGGGGATGAGAACCGTGACTTTTATTTTTGCTGGATGCCGGGAAGGGTCCTGAAAATGGCGTGTAGGAATGCATTGTTCATGACGATGCGATGTCGCGATAACGTCTTGAAATATCACCTCTTGAATGGAAAGCATTACTTTTAGGAGGAGTGGGGATGGTACACGGCAAGCTTTACGTTTTGCGTCCCTATTCCATTTTTCCATCTCTCCTCCTCTGTTCGTACCTTGGCACCATCTCCTCACGGGGCTTTACGACTTCATATAGAGGTTTCCCTGCTCATGGCCCCTCCCACGTATGGATGTGATCTCCTTGTCAGACATTGCTAATCGAGTGACTCGCTGCAAGCGATCCGCGGTCGCGTTGCGGTACCAGCCAATTGAGTGATTCACTGGCCGCGACGCGACCGCAGACGCTAGCGAATCGCGCGATTCGCAAAGTCTGACATCGGCCTTATACGACAATTAAAAGCTTGTACTAATGCACGTTCCCTTACCAACGCTAGGTAGGGTACCACGCTCGACGCAACTTGTACAATTCCTGCACAGGGAAACAATTTGATAACGAGCTACGATTTCTCGATGTGAATGATTCTCACTCAGCTCTTAGCTACGACTACGTTCCTCTGTTGGCTGTTGTACGTTTGTATGCGAAAAAACCTGGTCACTGCATTACACAAGATGTACTACCACAAAAATGTGTATTATCAATTGAATTCCGTTGATAACGCCGGAATTGACAACCCGTGAGTTGGAAGCTTTTCAAGATGACATTCCGTTTGATTTATGGCGCGACGAGTGTTCAGTTTGAGGCCTTCAATCCAGACAGACGAAAGATAGGGGTGGGGGGTGCGCAAGCGTACTGCATGTTTCGAAAAGTTCTAGATGATTGAAATTGGCTGATAAAATGAAAGAGTAGCTTATTCAATATTTAAAAATGGCACCTCTTCACTAGGAAAGCTCCCATTAGTGAGCTCACTAAAACTGTTGTCAAAATTCGTTGATCCGTTGCGAAATTCGCGTAAATCGCGCAACGGATTGCGGGCTCTGACACCAGCTTTAGGAGTGCATAATAGATAAGTTATCTATGAATTATTCTCATAATTTTTCAGGGATCAACGAATTACGCAAGATGCAGAGCGGATGTGTTCAACACTCGCTAAAAACGTTTTCCCTTACATCCTTATTTCACCAGGAGTTATCGCTTATTACACCTACAAAACTTGGGTAATGTTAGTAACCTCTTAAATAAGCTTCTTAACATTTGAAAATCTATCTCCGCTCCTTCCACAATTGAAAAAATGACAACAGCCAACGGTGTTTTTACCTCCGCATCTTTTTTTTTCAATATATTTTTAAGGGCGCTCATCCAGTAAGGGGGGCATCAAGTGGCTGCCCTCACCCCCTTTGAAGAACT